CTTGTAGTCACTCAGGAATATATTTCAAAGTTGTAAGCATTTTTTCCAAAAAATTAAATCTGTCAATGTGTTTCCTGTGTTAAATGAATTGTTAACTTCTAGAACTTCTACAATCCTAATTTGTACATACAAGAATGCATATATTCAACAAAACACTGTCATATGCCTTGCTTCTATTATAGCTCTCATCATACCGTACCATACTGTACAAAAGTTTACTTGTATGTGAATTAGCGTGAAGCATTCATTCATGGTGAAGATGATCCTTTTTCTTACTCATCTTTGGTACCCCTAAAGCATAGCACAGCTCTTGATGCAATGCAGACCCTGAGAGTATTCCAGATGAATGAGTGGATGTATGAGTAAATGCCAGGTAATATGAGTGGCTACTCTTATCCTTAAGGGGTCACAGTGTACAGGAGAGAGACTTATAAATAATTAATTGCAGTATCATACTAAAAGTATTACCTTATGACACAAGCAGGAAAAATTAATTTTGTCCCAGGGTGGTAATGGAACTAAAAGGCTTTTATAAAAAGGTTGACATTTAGGCTAATCAATCAGTTGATAGGAAGTCCAATTCATATTTTAGAATCCAATTGCATCAGAATAATACTGTTTGTAAGCATCTCAAAGGAAATGGCAAAAGTCCAACATTCTTTTTGTAGGTTAAGTTAGTGAAGGTACACCTTTTGGAATAAAAGAAAGAGAAAAGACAATCTCTAGCCCATAACTGAAGGGATAAAGGTTCAGAACATAGGCATGGAGAAAGCACAAGGGATTGATGCAATTATGGCAATAAGAATAAAATGTCTGGAAAAGAGAAAGTTCTCTAGAGTATGTAAATTGGTCAAATAGGCAAATATGAGAGCTGAGGAATAAACACACTGTTAATAGAATGCTCCATTCAATTCATCTGGTCAGCAAATATAATGTTGGGAGTATAGCAACAAACAGGCCCAAAACAAAAGTTCCTGCCCTAATGGATCTTATGTAGAATCTTCTCATTGGAATCCATGAGTTTCAGTATTCCTTTGATGACATTTGTTTTTGTTCTCAATGTCCTCAATTGTAAGATATAAAAAATATGAGGTTAGAAATAGAAAATAAACTCTCATAATATTTAAGTCTTGCTAGTAAAAGAATAATCACATAGATTTTTTTGTTTTTTTACAAAAATCTCAAAGTGCCTTTCAGCACACAGACGGACCAAATTCTAACAGGTTAGAATTAGTGCTTTGAAGGTACAATTTCAGGATGCCAAGATATCAATTATATTAGATTGTTTCAAATTAATAACATTTGGACAGTGCTTCAGAATTTATAAAGCACTTTTACATATCATCTCATTTAATCCTCACCATAAGTTTTTCTTTTCTTTTTTTTTTTTTTTTTTTTGAGACAGAGTCATGTTCTGTTGCTGGGGCTTGAGGGCAGTGCATCATCATAGCTCACTGCAACCTCACACTCCTGGGCTCACATGATCCTCCCACCTCAGGCTCCCAGTGGCACACATCACTGCAACCAGTTCTACTTTATTGCAGTTTATATTTAGGTGAGCCTATACTCTAAATAATTCCTTAACTTCAGGTTATGCCTAGTCTGCAACAATGATACTGAAGATGGCACAAAGTTAAGTTTTATAGCTCCTATCTCCTGCTTTAGGTAATAATTCATCTCCACAAGCAAGAGTCCTGACTGGCAAAGCCAGGTCACTTGGGTCCTTTTATAACTGATAACTATCCTTTCAAATGTTAATTTTTTTAATATTTAAATATGAATAACATTAGTTTGCAAAACAGGGAAAATATACCCAGATAATACTCCATCCAAAATAATAACAAATCATACTTAATACATTTAAAATTTTCAACTGTATATGAATCATATATACAAGATGGCACCTAATTAGTTTACATAAATATGCCACTTGTACAATTTAGTACTTTTTATAATAGCAAGGAGCCAAATTAAACACTTTAATATTGAGTTCTATAAATATTGATGTAAAATGCTTTAATATGATGAAATTTTGGGGAAAAGCATAAGATAATCAATCATATAAATTTGAAAAGACTGAGCCAAGAAAATACAAATTAATTATAAGTACTAAAATATCCACCTAATTATGCCTTATTAAATATTCCTTTTAATCAGTAGTTACTGTAAGGTTTTCAAAGGTTAGTTTCTGGTAACTATAAGTTTCATATAGCATTTGTTTTCTTTCTGATACATTGAAGCATGTTTATTACAGAGTGGAATTTGGTGTAAGATGGGTTGTTTTGGACCTAGTCCAAGAGGGTTTAGTTACTGAAAGCACCTCATTATAAGGTGGTCTTACCAATAATGTGATCCACTGGCTCAGATCCCATGGACATTATAACAAGGCTCTACTGTGGAGTATAGGAAGCTGGGTGGCTAATGGTTCTATCAGATGAAACCCTAAGAAACAAAATTCTATTATGTTTTCCCCAGAGACATGAAAATGATTTGGGGCTAGTGGATCATAAGCCTTGGTCATTTTCAAAATTTCCATTTCCTCAGGTGATGATCTTTGTTTGATAGCCCCACAGATATTTCACATTAAGATTTTAGCTTCCTTACATATTGATTGTCTGATGTGGTCTTAAATAGTATTGATGAAAATTTTTATAATCAAAACCAAAAATTTATTTACAAAACATTGACTGAATTTACCTATGGAAACAAACAAACTACCAAGAATTCATACAGGTTAAAGTAAATTCTTGTGTAGCTCATTGAGAAATTTGAGGTTTAAAAGAGCATAAGTGGGAATGGTGTAGAAATGAAATACAAAAAGAATGTCACCACTTAGAGATTACTACAATTAGGCACTTTGACTTTACAAAAATTTTTAAGCAGTTCTAAAGAATTAAATATTTTGAATGGGTTTATTATAGGAAAGTAATATTATAAAGTCCTGCAGAAAAATAATGGGGGGAAAATTTTGAAAACATTTTAATGTTTTGAATAGGTATATCATAACAAAAATGTGAACTTAGAAACTGTGCCAAATTAAAAACGGTGTAATAATTAAATGTACAGTAGTAGTACAGTAGTTTCTCATTAATTTCCAATACAATTCTAGAAAGCTTTAATCCATCTAAAATTCAAAATTCAAGTCATGAAACATCTACTCTTTACATTGTGCCTTTCTTCCTTATATATCTCAAAAACATTAAAAAATTAACCAGCCAAATAATTATTTCCACTAACAATTTACTGTCAGTCTCTATAGTTAGGGAAGGTTTCATATAATGCAAGAATGTACTCTACATATCTGGTTGATGTAATAAAAATTGATGACTTGCCATGTGCCCTTTTAAATGCTTTTATAGGTTGTATATGTTTTAACTTATTTAACTTTATAAATATTTCTTTAAAAACCATGTTATCAGTAATGAACATGGTCTATGTCTTACTCTATAAAGGCCAGTAGTTTACTTCTTGGACCATCATCTTGGTCAAAGTTGTGATCTTACACCTATTTCAACAAAGATATGATTGAAATACCTTTTAGAATTCCTAAAAGCTTCAGGTACATCTTTATGCACATTCTTAGTGATGGCAATCTTTAGCTTCAGAGAGAATGAGACTTTGTAAAGGATCAAAAGTCTTATCTAGCTAGGGAAGGGGATGGCATTTGAGATCAAGTTGAGTGATAACACTAAGATATGACTATAAAGTAATATCCTTGATTTTCTTATGCCGTTTACCGATTTCTAAAGATAATTTCAAAAGTCCCTAAAATGTGTTAATTGCAGTATTGTTAAATATCTAGTTTTCCAAGTTATGCATTTATTCATATAATTGTTCCCTAAATGTAGATGACTCAGAGTCACTTCACCTCTTTTATGAAATGGTTTATGCTTTATTTTAAGCATTCTGGAATATAAGCATAGAAAATTGACTCAGTAAAATATCAACAGATATTCCTTTATAGATTTTTAAAGCTGAAAGGGATTTGTATGACTTTATAGTACTAATGTCTGCATTTTACAGATGAAACTAATTCCCTGAAAGGTATGTTGATTGCCAACAAGACTTAGCAAATTAGTGGCAACTTAGCAAATTAGTGGCAGAGCCAGGAATAAAGCCCAAGTGTCATCTTCCACCTGGTTTTTTATTTTTTTTTTCACTACACTACTATCATTATCTGTGGTTTAAGAACAATACCAGGGGGGAAATAGTTGCCCTCTTTCAAAACAATGTAGAAATTACCTTCTAACATAGTGTTTGGTACTTGTTACTCTCTGATCCAATAAGAAAAATATATGTAGGATCTAAAATATCTGAAGCTACAGATAAATCCTTTAATTGCTAAATTGTGAATTTAAATTTCTTTGAACTATGCTTAGAGTTGTAAAACCCAGTGCTATAGAAACAAGTTGTATTAAATCTAAATGCCATCAAAATACAAGCAAACATATGAATATATAATAATTCGTTTATCAAAAATGAATATAAAAATAATCCTGATTCCTGGGAATTTTGACTTGAAAATAATATACCATACACACTACATGAACAGCTAATGAAATTCAATTCAAATCATTTACAAGAAGTCAAAGTGCCCAATGAATAACAGATGTTTCTTAGAAAAATCAGTGAATGTATTTTTGGAATGACATCAGAGATGAGCATCTTTTATAACCATTTTTGATCAAATGTATAGTTTCATTCATAAAAACATAAAACAGTCAAAATTCACAGAAAACATTACTGTGCTCTAAAGAAACATATTTCAGTTGCAGTTATCTGTGTTCGCTTATTAAGATAAATTTGATATATAAATTTGATAATTGTATAAGGATTTATGCCAGAACTTATCACTTTTTTCCCCACAATGATGATGAAACTGAAAATTTGGAGTACTTCATTTGGCATTTTATAATTTTATATAAATTTGTTTATAACATGTTTGATTTTTAGGTTTATCATATAAGCAATGAAAAACACTTTCAATTAAAAATGCATGCTGTTCTCTTAATTACTCTTAATTATAAAGTATGCAGTTTAATAAGGGAATAAACTTTTCAAGACAGGTAATTTCTAAAAAAACTTCAGACAGATTTAAGGTAAAATCTATAATGAAACATGGCTGTGGTGTGACTAGATTAGACTATTAGTAATATTTATGTACCAGCATGAAAACAAATGAAGAGGACTACAAAATACTATTTATATGAAATTGGAAGTGCTACAGAAAACTCTAAATATCAGATTAATTTTAAATTGCACTTAGCTATGGAAGAGTTATTTGAGGAAAATATTTTGTACGAATCTATCAAAATTCAAATAGTAAAACTTACATTTCTGAACATAAAATAGACTTTTAAAAATCTGATGACAAAGTGAAAAAATACATCCAAAGGTTTTTGAAAGTACCCCACTTATCCAATGTACAAATTATTACTTACAATAGAGTTTAACATAAGCATGACGACATATTTTTACAGCTTGAGAGTTAAGTATTATTACCGAATACTAGGGAGCACACCTTTATTTTGGGAAGGAGACTGTTTAATTTATCCAAGTTGTTTTTACATCATCATCAATGTTACTAATTTTATTTTCTTCAATAGGCATGATTCCATTCAACTTTGTATCTGTGCACGTCGTCTCAGCTTTCATTTCACTGACTGAATTCACTTCTTTCATAGTTCTAGTTTCAGAAATGTTTTCAGCTAAAATGCAATTTGAATTTTTAGCCAATCTGTCACTTCTGTCAGTTTCAACTAGGTCACTGTTTTCATCTGAATCTTCCGGATCATAAAGTTCAGGTGTAAAATAGATAGATTCATCTTCTTCTGTTTCAAAAGCTCTATTTGGAGTGGAAGATTTAGGTTCTTCACCTTCTAGAGACAATTCAATGTCTGGAGCCAGGATTTCTTCACAGCAGAGTGAATGTTTGGAATGATTTATTTTTGTAAGAGTAGCATCAATTTTTATTGATGAAATGATGGCTTCTGATTGAGAGCATGACCCAAATGATGTGTTTACTGTCAGATTTGAGGATTCACATTTATCAGTGAGTGGCAAAACAGTTTTACTTTCCATCTTTTCTGCTTTGAAACTAGAAGGACTAGAGACACAATTCTTTGATGACCTGAGCTCAGGTGTTGCAGTACGTATTTTATTGGTAAAATACTGTCCCAAAGAATTAAAGCTAGACCAGCTGACTCTGTCTGTTTGTTTGTTGAAAGTTGGGCTTGTGGATCTGGAAATCACTATTTCTTCTGTTTTCATTGCTTGGACAGACTCTTCTAAGAATGCTGGATCATCTAAGAATATAAAAAGTTAAGAGCTTTAACTTTCTGATTATTAACATAATTAAAATATCTATATAGGATACATAACTTAGATCCTACAACCAGTAGTTTTGAACTTTTACCTTAGAACTTAAAGAAGAGGTTCATGTTTTAAAAGGGGCTTATTGGAGGGGAAAAAAGGAGAGGAGGGCTGAGTAAAGGAGGGAATGGGCTATAAAAATTTGCCTTGAAAAACTGACCTAGACTAATTCTTATTTAATAAATAAGGAAACTCATAATTGCAAGGCTAAATTATTTGCTCAAAGTTATAAAACCATGTTAGAAAGATCAGGACTAGAACCTAGTTTCCTGGTTACCAGGATAATAGCCTTGAATTTACTGTGATATTTATTTAGAAGTATATACTACTAGCCTGGTGTGGTGACTCATGGTTATAATCTCAGCACTCTGGGAGACCAAGGCAGGAGAATAGCTTGTGGTCAGGAGGTCAAGATCAGTCTGGGCAACATAGTGAGACCTCATCTGCACAAACAATAAAAAAATTTATTCAGCTGCTGCACGCCTATAGTCCCAGCTGTTCAGGAGGCTGAGGCAAAAGGATTGCTTGAGCCCAGGAATTGGAGGCTGCAGTGAGCTGTGATCATGCCACTGTACTCCAGCCTAGGTGAAAGACTGAGACCCTGTCTGTTAAAAAAAAAAAAAAAGAAAAAGAAAAACATATACACTACAAAATAAGTATTTAATAATTGCTTTGTTAAGAAATACTATATTAATTAAAACAATTAAAATCATAGCCAATGATATAGACTAAAGTTTGGCAAACTTTTTTCTGTTACAAGCCAGACTGTAAATATTTTAAGATTTGCAGGCCATATTGTCTCTGTTGCAGCTACTCAATTATGCTGTTCGCAGTATGTAAATGAATGGGCATGACTGTGTTCCATTAAACTTCATTTACAAACACAGATAGCAGGCCAAATTTTGTCCATGTGCCAGTTTACCAATCCCTGATATAAACCATTATTTCTAATATATTTCAAAATATTATTTTTTATCATTTAGAATGTCTTTCACCTCCTGAAAATGAAGAAGTTCCTATGAGAAGAATCTATAAATTAGACCAATTTTTTATATAGCCTTTGGAAAAATATCTACCATTTGTACAGTACCTTACAATTCTGTAATATTTATCATCTTATTTGACATTTACAACCCAACCTGGAAGCGAGGCACGGCAGCTCATGCCTGTAATCCTAGCACTCTGGGAAGCCGAGGCAGGAAGGATCACTTGAGGTCAGGAGTGATCCTGACCAGCCTGAGCAAGAGTTGAGACCCCATCTCTACTAAAAATAAAAAAAATTAGCTGGGCATGGTGGCACATGCTTATAGTCCCAGCTACTCAGGGAGGCTGAGGCAGGAGGATCCCTTAATCCCAGGAGTTTAAGGTTGCTGTCAGCTTGTCTGATGCCATGGCACTCTAGCCTGGGTGACAGAGCTAGAGTCTCTTTCTGAGCTCTGTCTCAGAAGGAAAAAAAAAAACACTAAACAGAAATAGCTTTTAAAGGAAAAACACACAATCCAACATGGAGGGACAGCTAGGCAGGTATTCTTTTTTTCTATTATGACTCAAATAGGTTAAGTGACTTACGATCACACAGCTAGTAATTGGCAAAGCTTGTTAGTGGAAAACCAGAAAATATGCTCTGGTCTCTTGACAAAAGTTTGTTCCCATTCCAAAATACCATACTATTTCATTATTTTATAATAACATCTTATATTACAACTAACATATTTAAGGAAATTAATCTATATCCAAATATCATTTCACTAAATATAAGACTTCTCTATCAAATGTAAATGGGCAGAACTTTTCATACTTTTCTCCTTTCTGGGGATGATGCCACTTGGTAGAGATGGATTTTTAGTAATCATTTTAAGACACTGTGGTTCCTGGACACACATTTTTGCTTCATCTTCCCTAGTATTTTCTGGTGACAGATGACTTGCTTCTTCCAATAAATAATTCACAGTATTGTCCTTCAAACAGGTCACTTCAAGTGTAGACTCATCATTCTGCATATACTTTCTGTCCTTTTTGGATATATCAGTGACCTTTTGGTGCTTTTTGGAAAATTCAGCCAAGGACTCCAGTGCACTTTCAAAGGTTGAATGGTGCTGAATCTGCTGTCGTACCCATTTAGAAAGTCCTAAGGAAAAAAACCCAGGGGAAAATCTGGTTACTTAGTTATTAAGATATTATTTATTAAGATAGAGCTTTTTGTACAGAAGTAATCTAATTTTCATTTTGAATATACAGAATGGTTCTCAATATTTCTCCTGCAATTTTACTTCATATGTATAATATATTCATATATCAGTAATATTTCTCTTTATATGCAGTGATTGTCAAAGAGATGGAAGAGTCAGTGGCAGTAGGGTGAAGAGAGGGAAATATACTATTCTCTTGTTAAGAATAACTGGTGAGGCCGGGCGCTGTGGCTCACGCCTGTAATCCTAGCTCTTGGGAGGCCGAGGCGGGCGGATTGCTCAAGGTCAGGAGTTCAAAACCAGCCTGAGCAAGAGCGAGACCCTGTCTCTACTATAAATAGAAATTAATTGGCCAACTAATATATATAGAAAAAATTAGCCAGGCATGGTGGTGCATGCCTGTAGTCCCAGCTACTCGGGAGGCTGAGGCAGCAGGATTGCTTGAGCCCAGGAGTTTGAGGTTGCTGTGAGGTAGGCTGATGCCATGGTCCTCATTCTAGCCTGAGCAACAAAGTGAGACTCTGTCTGGAAAAAAAAAAAAAAAAAAAAAAAAAAAGAATAACTGGTGAATATGGCAAAATAAATTTCACCATAATTTCCCCAAAATTACTGACCTTTTTCATATAGGGAAACTGGAAGTTGTAAACAATACAATCTTCTGCAATATTCTAAATTTTACTCCTTTTTAAAAAATAAAATCAAGATTATATTCTCAAAGGTTTTTTTGTTCTCCTCTACCAATTCTAGATACATCTTAAACTATTCTGGAAGTGAAGGAAATGATACTGTCTTTTGGGCAAATCACATCCACTCTGGATTTTTATATAATTATGTTTAATAGTATAAGTAATCAAGTTGTAAAGGATATGATTTGACCTGTGACATGTAAAAGCTGCATAAAAATGAATCATATTAGGAGTTTAGTATTATGACTCACCTCAAAATAAAATGAAAAATCAGATTATTTGGACTTTCACAAAATAAATATTCCCTGGAACAATTAGTTTTAAAAGTCACTATGGTGGCTCATACCCATAATCTCAGCACTTTAGAAGCCCAAGGTATGAGGATTGCTTGAGGCCACGAGTTCAAGACCAGCCTGGGCAACATAGTGAGACCCTGTCTCTACAAAAAAATTTAAAAATTAGCTGGGCGTGGTGACTAGTGATGGTAGTCCAAGCTACTCGGGAGGCTGAGGTGGGATGGCCTGAGCTCAGGAGTTCAAGGCTGCAGTGAGGTAATATCATGCCACTGTACTTCCAGCCTGAGTGACACCCAGTCTCTTTAAAAAAAAAAAAAAAAAGTCACTATGGTATTATAAGTTTCGATAAAACAGGGATTCATGCAACTTGACTATTATAATTTCAAATACAGTCCTTTAGTTTTTTTCCTAGACAGAGTCTTGCTCTGTTGTCCAGGCTGGAGTGCAGTTGCATCATCACAGCTCACTGCAATCTCAAACTCCTGGGCTCAATCAATCTTCCTGCCTCAGCCTCTCGAGTAGCTAGGATTTAAAGGTGCACACCACCACACCTGGCTAATTTTTCTATTTTTTTGTAGAGATGGAGTCTCACTCTTACTCAGGCTAGTCTTAAACTCCTGACTCAAGGGATTCTCCAGCCTTGGCCTCCCAGAGTGCTAGGATTACAGGTGTGAGCCACTGCACCTGGCTCTTTAGCTTTTTTTACAAGGAAATTTTCTATCAATTCTCTATTTGTGCAAATTAAATTTAAACAACTAGTAAACATTTCACACTTTATGAATCTCAGAAAAAATAAAATAAAAACTTCCCAGAAATAATGGTAAATTTTAATTCAAAAAAATCTCTCAATAAATCTGAACTATGAATTAGAAATGTACGTTCTATATTTTAAATAATAATAAGCATTTCTCTTAAAGTTATTTTGTTGGGGAAAATGATTATGCCAAATAAAATCAATTCTCTAAAATTAAAAAATTTTAGTATTACAGTTAATTTTACATTTCAACCTTTTTATAATGAAAGAAAGCCTTTTCAGTGTAAAATGTCATTGTTTGCTTTTGAAAACCTGAAAGAATATGAGCTCCACCTGCTGACTAAATACCAGCAGTTAGCATTTTCGCCTTTAGTTACTGTTTGACATAGTTATTGTATGCTTTGTATATGAAAAGGGAAGATAAAATCAATAAAGCGGTATTTTTTGCTTTACTCCAGCTGGTTATATTTTAATATCAAACCAAACAAAGTAATTAAGCTCTGAAATAGAAAAGGTAGAGTCTACACCCACAGACAGGTAATCTGAAACAAAATTTGGCATCTCTTAATTTTAGAATGAATTTTTTAACATAAAGGCAATAATAAAGATGCCAGTGTAACCTACAGCTTTTTGATAATAAGTGGACTTCTGGTACTCACTGTGAAAGGACTGTGTTACTGCTAGATGAAACCATACATACACAATATTTGCTGCTTTGAGTAGGAAAAAAATGATCTACCTGCATCAAAGTGGGTGAGAAAATTTGTGATACACTCTTGCGATAATTCCAACCTCAGAATAGTGCCATATGATGGAGAGTAAATCCCAAGTTCCTAGCTTCTACCTGGAGAAGACTGGACTGTACGTCCAAAGTTCTGACTTTTTGGGGTGCCTACCCAAGACACTTGCTTCTATCTTGCCTCTCTTAAAGGACTGACATGACCCAGAAAACTCTATATGCCTGGGACCAGTGAGAACAAAAGAGCTGGACAGCATGCTGCTGCTTTAGAGGCCCTATGACACAAGAGACAAATAGAAGGGTACAAGAGAGTATGGCACCCAGTAAGAAAACAAACTGGCAAATACCTCTAATTAGAAATCCATACACACAAGTTTAGAGAAGACAGATCCACAGAAAAGGTTTGAGAACCTCCCAGAATGCCTACCTGGCTGGACAGGAGAAGGTCAATCCCTGTATGAAACCAGTCTGTAAACACTGTGAGAGGTGGCTGTTTTTTCCAAATGTATGGGTATCATACAAAGTTCCAAGGAACACAAACAGGAAAAAATAACCCTGTCAAAGGAACAAAATCTCCAGAAAGCAACCCTAAAGAAATAAAGGTTTATGAATTATTTGACAAAGAATTTAAAATAACTATCAAAAAAGATGCTCATGAGCTCAAGAAAATGATACAGGAAAAGGCGAATTTCAACAGAATTAGGAGCTAAAACAATAATTGAACTGAAAAAATTCACTAGAAGGGTTCAATAACAGACTTAAGCAGAAGAAAGAGTCAACAAACTTGAAGATAGGTCATTTGAAATTATCCAGACAAGCAAAAAAGAAAAAAAAGGGGGGGGGGAGGAGTGAAGAAAACATAAAAGATTTATGGAACACCATCATGCCAACCAATGTATGCATTCTGGTAGTTCTAGAAAGAGAAAGAGCAAGGAACGGAAAGCTTATTCACAGAAATAATGACCCAAAACTTGCCAAACCTGAGGGGAAAAAAAGTGACACCCAGATTCAAGAAGCCAAACAAACCCAACTATTTAATAGGATGAACCCATAAGTCCATACCAAGATACATTATAATCAAATTATTAGAAGTCAAAAAATAGAATTCTAAAAACATCAAGAGAAAAGCAACTTGTTACGTACAAGTGAACTCCCATAAGACACTTACAGATTTCTCAGGAGAAACCTTACAAACCAGATCGGAATGGGATGATATATTCAAAGAGCTGAAACAGAAAAACCAAACACAACAACAAAAAAAGCACCTGCCAACCAAGAATACTAACCATCAGAAATGGATAAGAGATAAAGGCTTTTTCAGGTAAACAAAAACTGAGGGACTTTATCATCACTAGACCTGCTTTATAAGATATGCTAAAGAGGGTTTGCTATATAGCAATATGAGAGTATAAAGTTTGCTAGTAAAGGTAAACATACAATACAGAATACTTTAAAATAATAACAATGGTGCATAAATCACTTAATTTTGTACAGAAAAGATAAAAGTATAAAAAAGAAATGTTAATGAACACACAATATAAAAAATGTGATTTGTGACTTCAATAACATAAGTGATGGGAGAAAAGTAAAGCATAGAGGTTTTTTGTTTTGTTTTTGTAGACAGGGTCTCACTCTGTCACCCCAGGCTGGAATGCAGTGGCATGATCATAGCTCACTACAACCTTGAACTGTGGACTCAAGGGATTCTTCTGCCTCATTCTCCTGAGCAGCAAGGACTAAGTTTGTTGTTGTTGTTGTTCTGTTTTGTTTTTTGAGACAGGGTCTCACTATATTGCCCAGGTTTATCTCAAACTCTTGGCTTCAAGCAGTCCTCTTACCTTGGCCTCTAAAGTGTTGGGATTACAGGCATGAGCCATAAGCCACCACATCCATCCAAAAGTATAGAGTTTTTGTTTGTAGTTGAAATTAACATGTTATCTGTTAAAGAGATTGTTATAACTCTAAGATCCATGTAACCACAAAGGAAATAGAAGACACACAAAAAAATGAGAAAGGAATCAAAGCATGTTACTTCAAAAAGTCAACAAAACACAAAGGAAGACAGCAAGTGAGGAAGAGAGAACCAAAAGAGCTACAAGACAGACCAAACAATGCACATACAGCAACAGTAAATTCTTCTCTATCAATAATTACCTTAAATATAAATGGAAACTTGATATTTTACTCTGTTCATGCTGCTATAACAAAATATCATAGACTGGGTAGCTTAAATAATAAAAATTTATTTCTCATAGTTCTGGAGGCTGGGAAGTCCAAGATAAAGGCAATGGCAGATTCAATTTCTATAATAGAAAAGGCCTGCTTCCTGGTTCAGACTGCTGTTTTCTGAACCAGGAAGGGTTCATAGAGGAAGGGACAGGAAAGCTCTCTCAGGCCTTTTATATAAGGACACTAATACCATTCAGAAGGCTCTGGCCCCATGACCTACTCACCTCCCAAAGGACCCATGTCCTAATGCCACCATGTTGTGGTTGAGAATTTCACCATATGAATTTGGGGGGACATAACATTCACATCACAGTACTTTTTAAATCAAAAGACAAAGAGTAGTTGAATGGATGAAAATCTGTTCCAACTGTATGCTATATACAAGAGATTCTTTTTAGGTTTAAGGATACACATAAGTTGAAAGTGAAAGGATGGAAAAGATATTCCTTGCAAAAGATAGCCAGAAGAGCAGGGGTGGCCATACTTCTACCAGACAAAATAGACTTTAAGTCAAAAACTGTCAAAAGAGATAAGAATATTTTATATAATGATAAATAGGTCAATTCACCAGGAAGATATAACAATTATGAATAAATATGCATCTAACATCAAAGTACCTAAATATATAAATATTAAACTGTAGGGAGAAACTGACAACACAATAATAGATTTCAATATCCCATATTCAATCATTCAGACAGGTGATCAATAAAGAAAGAGGACTGAAAAACGCTGTATCTCTTCTTTATCTTCGGTCATGAAAAACAAAAAACAAAACTTATAGATCAAATGGACTTAACTGTTATATACAGAACATTCCCCACAAAAAGCAGCAGAATACACATTCTTCTCAAGTGCGTAAAGAACATTTCCCAGGACAGATCACATATTTGGTCACAAAACAAGTCTTAACAAATTTGAGATGACTAAAGTAATACCAAGTATCTTTCTAACCACAACAGAATGGAATTAGAATTAAATAGCAGAAAAAGAACTGGAGAATTCACAAACATGTAGAAATTAAACAACACTCTCTTGAACAACCAATAAGTCAGACAAATAAGAAATCAAAAAGGATATAGAAAATATCTTGACACCAATGAAAACAAAAACATCGTATGGCAAGTAAAGGATGCAGCCAAATTAGTACTAAGAGGAGAGTTTATAGTGGTGGTAACCTACATTAAAAAAGGAGAAAGAGCTCAAATAACTCTACAGGTCAAGAAACTAAAGAACTAAATCCAATGTTAGCAGAAGGAAGGAAATGATAAAGAATAGAGGAGAAATAGAGAATGGAAAAATAACCAATTAAATCAACAAAAATAAGAGTTGGTGTTTTTGAAAACAACAAAGTTTGATAAACTAGACTAATCAAGAAAAAAGATGACTCAGACAAAATCAGAAATGAAAGAGGAGATGTTACAATTGATGCTACAGAAATAAAAAGGATTATAAGACAGTACTCTGGGCCAGGCACGGTGGCTCACACCTGTAATCCTAGCTCTCCGGGAGGCCGAGGCAGGAGGATCGTTGGAGTTCGAAACCAACCTGAGCAAGAGCAAGACCCTGTCTCTACTATAAATAGAAATTAATTGGCCAACTAATATATATAGAAAAAATTAGCCAGGCATGGTGGTGCATGCCTGTTGTCCCAGCTACTCGGGAGGCTGAGGCAGCAGGATTGCTTGAGCCCAGGAGTTTGAGGTTGCTGTGAGGTAGGCTGATGCCATGGTCCTCATTCTAGCCTGAGCAACAAAGTGAGACTCTGTCTGGAAAAAAAAAAAAAAAAAAAAAGAAAGACAGTACTCTGAACATATGCTAGTAAATTGAATAATCTTGAAGAAATGGATAAATTCCTAGAAACATACAATCAATGAAATCATGAAGAAATAGAAAATCTGAACAGACCTATAACTAGTAAGGACACTTAATCAGTAATAAAAAACCTTCCAACAAAGAAAAGCCCAGTACTAGATGACTTCATTGGTGAGTTCTACCAAACATTAAAAGAATCAATGCCAATTCTTCTTAAACTCTTCTAAACAACTGAACAGCGAATACTTCCAAAACTCTTTTAATGAGGCCAGTGTTTCCCTGACAGCAAAGCCAGAAAATGACACTATAAGAAAACTACAGGGCCAGGCAGGGTGGCTCATGACTATAATCATAGCACTCTGGGAGGCTGTGGCGGGAGGATTCTTAAGGTCACAAGTCTGAGTAAGAGACCCCCACCTCTACTAAAAATAGAAAAATTAGCCAGGTGTGGTGATGCATTCCTGTAGTCCCAGCTACTGGGGAGGGTGAGGCAGGAGGGATAGCTTGAGCCTAGGAATTTGAGGTTACAGTGAGCTATGATGATGCCACTGCTCTCTAGCCAGGGTGACAGAGTAAGACTCTGTCTCAAAAAACCCCAAAACAAATAATGAACAAACTAACAAATACAAAAACTATAGACCAATATCCCTAATGAATAGAGATGAAAACCTTCAACAAAATACCAACAAACAGAATTCATCAGTACATTAAAATGATCATATACTATATATCCTGAAATATAAGGATAGTTCAAAATAGGAAAATCAATGTGATACACTACAGTAGCAAAATAAAAGATAAAAATTATATGATCATATTAATAGATACACAAAAAGTATTTGACAAAATTCAATAGCCTTTTATGATAAAAACTCTCAACAAACTAGTAGAAGGAAATTATCTCAACATAATAAACGCCATATGAAAAGCCCACATCATATGCAAGGGTTAAGAACTGAAAGCTTTTCCTTTAAGACAACAAGGCAAGGGATGTCCATTGTTGCTACTTCTTTTTAACACAGTACTGGAAGTCCTAGCCGGAAATATTAGGCAAGAAAAAGAAATAAAAGAAATCCAAATTGGAAAGGAAGAAGTGAAATTATTTCCCTTCACAGATGACATGATCTCATATGTAGAAAACCCTATAAAGATTCACCCCCAAACGCCAAACAAATTCTGTTAGAACAAATCCAGTACAGTCACAGGATTAAAAAATCACATAAAAATCAGTTGCATGTCTACACACTAACAACCAAAAAAAATTTAGGGGAAAATTCCACTTATAATAGCATTAAAAAGAATAAAATATTTAGGAATAAAAATGTAACTGAGAAGGCAAAAGACTTGCACACTGAAAATTACAAAACATTACTGGAAAACATTAAAGATGACACAAAGAAATCACATCTTCATGGATCCGCAAGACTAAATATTGTTAAAATATACTACTGAAAGTGATCTACAGATTCAGTACAATGCCTATCAAAATCCCAATGGCATTTTTTACAGAAATAGAAAAATCCTAGAATTCATATGGAGCCACAGAGAACGATAAACAGGCAAAACAATTTTGAGAACAAAGATAAAGGCTGCTGCCATAATACTTCCTGATTTTAAAATACATTACAAAACTATATTAATCAAAAAAGTATGGTACTGGCTAAAAAGAAAGATGTATACCAATGGAACAGAATAGAGAGCCTAGAAAAAAACCCTTACATATATGGTCCATCTTCAACAAGGGTGTCAACAGAGATACACAATGGGGAAAGGATAGTTTTATCAACAAACGGTACTGGGAAACAGGATATTCACATGCAGAGAAATGAAATTGGACTCTTATAGTATACCATGGGAAAATCCACTCAAAATGGATTCAAGACTTAATACTGTAAGACCTAAAACAGTAAAGCTCCTAGAAGAAAATAGGGGGGAAAATTCATAATATTGGTCTTGGCAATAATTTCTTGGATATGATACCAAAAGCACATGCAATAAAAGCAAAAACAGACAAGAGGGGTCACGTTACACTAAAAAGTTTCTGGATAGGAAGGTAAACAATCAGTACAGTGAAAAGGTAACCTATGGAATGAGAGAAAGATATTTCCAAACCACATAACTGATAAGGGGTTAATCTCCAAAATATATAAGGAATTCCTACACCTCAACAGCAAAAAACCAACAAACAGATAAGTCCAAATAACCCAATTAAAAAATGGGCAAAGTACTTGAACAGACATTTCTCCAAAGAAGACATACAGATGGCCAATAGGTATATGAAAAGATACTCAACATCGCTAATCAGAGAAATGCAAACCAAATCCACAATGAGATGCAATTATCATCTCATACCTACTGTCAGTATCAGAAATAAAAAAAAAAAAGAAAATAAGCATTAGGGAGGACGTGGAGAAATTGGAATGACAAACAGTGCAGTTGCTGTGGAGAATGGTATAGAGGTTCCTCAAAAAATTAAAACTTCAACTACCATACAATCCACTAATTCCATTCTTGGTATTTATTTTTAAAAAACTGTAATCAGGATCTTCAAGAAATAGCTGCTCTCCCATGTTCACTGTAGCATTGTTCTCAATATTCAAGACGTAGAACAACATAAATCTATGTTGACAGATGAATATGGTATAATGAATATGGTATAATGTATACATATAACAAAATGTATTCATAAAATAGTTATTCAGCTATAGGAAAGAAGGAAATCTTGTCAGATACCACAATATGGATGAATCTTGAGGCCATTAGGCCAAGTGAAATAAGCCAGTCACAGGACAAATACAGCATCATTCAATTTATATACAAGGTATGTAAAATAGTCAAACTCAGAAACAAGGTGGTTGCCAGTGGATGAGGGGAGGGGAAATGGGAATTGGTGTTCAACTGGTTTAAAATTTCAGTTGTGCAAAATTAAAAAGTTCTAGAGATCTGTATAATATTGTGCTTATAGTTAACAATATTGTACTATACACTTAAAAAGCTGTTAATAAGATAGCATATTATATGTTTTTAGCACAACAAAAACCACAGCTTGTTACTGGTAGTTACTATAGATTTCACTGTATACTCAGCTAAGAATCTTACCAGATATATAGCGACTTGGGTTATTCCTGAAGCGATCATCCACCAGAATAAGCGCTCCCCAATCATTTCTGTGTCGAATGCACCTACAAAAAATAGGGGGAAAATCAAACTATAATGTTGAAAATCCAGGTTTCTAGTGGGACAGAAATTTGAAAAACTCAATGTGTGTATGAGATTTATTTCTTCCTTCCCTCTCTCCCTCCCTTCTCTCTCTTTTTCCTCTTCTTTCTTTTCTTTCGACACAGAATCTCACTGTCGCCCCAGGTGTAGAGTACAGCGGTATCATCATAGCTCACTGCAACCTCAAACTCTCGGGCTTAAGAAATCCTCTTGCCTCAGGCTCCCGTGCAGCTGGGACTACAGAAGCCTGCCATGACACACGGCTAATTTTTCTATTTTTAGTAGAGACAGGGTCTCTCCCTTTTGCTCAGGCTAGTCTCCAAACTCTTGAGCTCAAGGAATCCTCCAGCTTTGGCCTACCAGAATGCTAGGATTATAGGTGTGAGTCACCATGCCCTGACTGACTGACTGACTGACTATCTATCTATATATATTTTTTTGAGATAGAGTCTCACTCTGTTGGCCCGGCTAGAGTGCTGTGGCATCAGCCTAGCAGCAACCTCACACTCCTGGGCTCAAGCAATCCTTCTGCCTCAACCTCCTGAGTAGCTGAGACTACAGGCATGCGCCACCATGCCTGGCTAATTTTTTCTATATATTTTTAGTTGTCCAGCTAATTTCTATTTTTTTTTTAGTAGAGATGGGGTCTCAGGCTGGTCTCGAACTCCTGAGCTCAAACCATCCGCCCGCCTTCGCCTCCCAGAGTGCTAGGATTACAGGCATGAGCCACTGCACCCAGCCCAGACTATGTATTTCTTTAATCAATTCATTATTATGAAAAGTTATAGAAGCTACCCAGTACAATGTACCAAAAGAGGTGCATAAAGAAATCCCCTACTTCTCCCAACTAACTTGTATCCAAAAATGTTATATGCATTTTATTTTGAAATCAAGAAAATTATAGAAAATATTTTCCAAGACCTTCTTACTTAGCTACAAACACCATTTTTTACCTTAAGTATTATTAACAATTATGTTTTATGTAAACATCCTTTTTACTAGTTTGAGTTTTTATCATGAATGAACACATCATTTTGTCAAAATTGTTTTAAAATCAATTGATATAATTATGTAGTTTTTCTCCTTTCAACTGCTAATATAGGAAATCACACTGGTTCATTTTCAAATACTGAACCAGTCGTGTATTCCTAGGAGGTTAACCATATGTGGTCATGGTTCATTCTTTCTAGATTGTTGGATTCAATTGACTAGTATTTAAAAAATATTTTAAAATAATTATTTAAAAACTTTAAAGTATACAATTCAATAGTTTTCAGTACATTTTTAAGGTTGTACAACCTATAGCATTATCCATTCCAGAATACTTTCTTCACCCCAAAAAGAAACCCCATGCGTATTAGCAGTCACTCCAAATTATCCTAATTATTTCCCATTACCTCTGGCAACAACTAATATTCCCTGTACCTAAAGATTTGCCTATTCTGGACATTTTATTTAACTAGAATTATATTAATACAATATGTAGCATTTTGTATCTGGCTTATTTTACTTAGTGGGATGTTTTCAAGATTCACTCATATCATGTATTAGTACTTCATTCATAAGTTAATAGACAATTGCATTGTTTCTACTTTTTGGTTATTATAAATAATGCTGCCAGGGTATTTTCCAATTTCCCTTGTGATTTCTTCTTTAACCCACTGGTTGTTTAAAGAGTGTGTGATTGAATTTCCACGTATTTGTGAGTTTTCCTTTTTTCTTCTGTTACTGATTTCCAGTTTCATTCTTTGTGGTTAAAAAGATACTTTTAATGATTTCAACCTTATAAAATTTATGAAAACTTATTTTACGGCCTAACATATGGTCTGTCCTGAAGAATGTGCCATGTTAACTGGAGAAGAATGTATATTTTGTTGTTAATGAAGTGTGCTATAGATGTCTGCTAGGTTTGTTTGGAGTTGTTGGTTTGGTTTTGTTCAAGAGTTCTACTTTCTGTTGATTTCATATAAAGAATATATCTTCATTGATATTCTCTAACTGGCGAACTGAGAAACCATTCCCATAATTTCCTGTAGTTCTTTTGACTTAGTTTCCTTAGCTCTTGAACATATTTAAACTAGCTTTATCTGCTAAGTAAAATGTCTGGGCTTCCCTCAGGCACAGTATCTACTGATCCTCCTGCCTCAGTCTCCTGAGTAGATGAGACTACAGGTATGTACCATCACACCCACCCAATTTCTTTTAAAGTTATTTATGAAGACAGGGTCTTGCTATGTTGCGCAGGCTAGTCCTGAACTCCTGGCCTCAAGCAATCCTCCTGCCTTGGCCTCCCACAGTGCTGGGATTTATAGGTGTGAACCAGCAAGCCTGGCCCACAACAGTACACTTTAAATAATATCATGTGGCAAGTCTATAAATCAGGTTATTCTGTCCTCAGTTTTTTGTTGTGGTGACTTTTCTGAAATAATTCTGTAAAGTCTGTATTCTGTCATGTGTAGCCATTGAAGACTACTTGGTTAGCTTAGTAGCCAGCTAGTAATAAGACAGAGATTTCTTTAAATGTCTAGGACCAATATATCTCCCATTCTTTGCCAGGAGGCTCTGCATGTGTGTTGGGACACACTTTCAACCCTCAGCAAGGTGGGTAACAACTCTGCTTCAGTCTTCACTTTGTTTCAGCAGAGCATCAAGGTGATAGCTTAGGGCCGCTTTAGGTCTTTCCTTAGCATGTGCACATCCCTGGTCGTGAGCATAGTCTTTTACACATATGCATGTCCCTCTAAAATCCCAGGAATATGTGAGAACTTTGAAAGCCCCCTATGGACATCTAATTTCTCAGCTTTTCTATTTAATTATTTTTTCTTAGCTAGCCTCTTAATTGCCCATAATGTCATTCGTTGTCTCAGGCAGCTATAAAGTTAAACAATTGCCTGGGTGAGTTCTGAGTCAGGTCAAATAAAGATAGCCTTGTCAGCGGGGGTCTTCCAGGGGACAGGTAATATAATGGCAATTTTCTGGGAATACATTCCAGCCCCATTTTTCCCCTTCATGGCTGTCAGGTTGCTGGCTTTGACCATGTCAGGCCGTTGGTTTATAAGGCTACTGTGAACTTGGAGAGAGGAGGATGGGAATAGGGCAAGTTCAAATTCCACAAAGCTCACTGTTTGTAATGAGATTCAGTCATTTTTCATAAATAAATGCTTTCTGGAAATGCTGTAACCTTTGGTTAATATTTAGAGTTTTGATAAAGTTGATGTAACTGCTTTTGAATATTTTCTCATTGCTTTTAGAATTTTCAGAAGTCTTTGTCAGTGTTGAAGATCTCATCCAATTTGCTAATACTTGAAGAACATCTTCAGCAATGTTCAAGAGGGATATTGACCTGTAGTTTTCTTCTCATTTTCTTTTGTTTTTGCACAGTCTTCACCTGGTTTTAACAGCTGGCCACATAAAATAAATTGGGAAGGGTTCCATCTTCTGTATTCTGGAAGTGATCGTGTAGAATTGGTGTTATTAATATTTCTTCTTTAAATGTTTGTTAATATTTGCTAATGAACCCATCTGTGTGGAGAACTTTTTCAGAAGGCTTTTAACTATAATTTGATTTCTTTCATAGAGGACTACTCACCTATTTCATCTTTGGGTGAGTTTTGGTATTTAGCAGGTTTTGAGGAATTATCTATGTCATATGAGTTATCAAATGTATATGTATAGTTTTATTCACAGTATTTTCATACTATCCTTTTAAGGTCTGTGGAATCTGCAGTAACATCACTTCTTCCTGATACTAATAATTGTGGCTTCTCTTTTTTTCTTTGTCAATTTTGCTAGAGGTTTATTGACTTTTTGATCTTTTCAAAGAGCCTGATTTTAGTTTAGTTGATTTTCTGTTGTTTTGTTTTCAATTTCATTGATTTATACTTGTTTTTATCATTTCCTTGTTTGCTTTACATTTATTTTGCTCTTTTTTTCTAGCTGCTTAAGGTAGAAACTCAGATCATTGAGATCTTTTTTTCTAAAATAAGCATTCGATGGTATCAATTTCCTTCTGAGCATTGCTTTTGCTGCAGCCCGAAAGTTTTGATATATTTTCATTTTGGATCACTTCAAAATATTTTCTAACTTTACTTGACAGTTCCTATCTATGTATTAATTAGAAGTATCCTAACTAATTTCCAAGCATTTGAGTATTTTTGTTATTGATTTCTAGTTTAATTTTATTATGATCAGAGATCACACTTAGTGTGACTTTTTTTTTTTTAAGGCTGGTCAAGTGGAGCAGTGGGAGTGGAGAAGGAACAAAGGAATCTGTAACTGGTTGTGATCAATTAGTTGTAAACACCACTGCACTTGGACCAACCAGTATGACTTTTTAATGGTCAATCAAGTATGACAATGTTCTACATTGGAACTATTCTATCTGCACTTGAAATAATGTTTACTTTCCTATTGTTAAGTGGAGCACTCTGTAATGTTAGCTCAATGCTGTTGGTTAATAATGTTGTTCAAGTCTTCTATATCTTTAATAGTTTGTCTACCAGTTCTCAGTAGAGAAGAGGAATTACTAAGAGAGGAATTTTGAAGTCTTCAACTATAATTATGGATGTTTATTTGTCTCTTCAGATTTGTCAGTTTTTGCTTCATGTTTCTTGAAACCCTGTATTTAGGTGCATACACATTTAGGATTGCTATGTCTACTTGGTGAATTGGCCCTTTTATCATTATGTAATGTCCCTTTTATCCCTATTAATTTTATTTGCTCTGAATTCTACTTGATCTGAAATTAATATAGTTACTCTAGCTAGTTCATTGGGATTTTGAATTACAAGTCAAAAATTTCCCTATAAACTTTGAAGATAATTTTCTCTTTTAGCCTCGATATTGCTTTTCAGAAGTCTGCTGCAATTGTGATTCCCTATCTTCTGTATGACTCCTGTCATTTTCATCTCTGGAAGATTTTAACACCTTTTCTTTATCCCAGGTACTTGGAAATTACACGGTG